AGAATTATTAACAGTTGAGAGCCATCCGTGCCGCTTTCTGCCTTGACAGGGTTTGGTTCTACCTCAAGTCTGGAGCAGTGTGAAGGTTAGGGCTTTAATGGGTGGCTTGAGTTCTCTACCTCTAGCACTGGAAGGTACTCAGTCTGATGTCCTCGTTTTCCAAATGAAGAAACTTTGCCCAAAAGAGGTTAATTCTCATGCCTGAAATCCCACGGTTTGTTGCAGAGCCAGAATGTAAATTTGGAGCTCGACCCTTTTAGTTCATTGCTTTTCCCTTTCCTGTTTCCCCTCCCCTCTCCACTCCTAGTCTTTTCCGAGATAGGATTGTGATGATGATATGGACGCACTGCTTGTATAAATGAAAATGATGACCGTGTCCCACGTGGGTGTTTGTTCTTCAGACCATTGTCTGCCACTATTAATTTCACAAGTGATCAGTTTGGTTGTATGGTCAACCCATTTATCATTTTGAGTCCATTGTTCTAGGCAACTTAACGCTTTATAACTTGAGTAGCTGGTTTGGGGATCATTGAAATTTTAAGGCATAACCCAGGTCTTGCTTGGTGTTTTTCTGTACCACATTCTCTTTTTGATCAAAAGTGCTCCTAATGAAGAGCAGAGGTGACTTGTTTAAGTTGCCGATCCTTCCATTTACCTTGACCTTTCTCAGCCGGATGTACTTGAAGGAAGTGGCATGGCTAACGAGCAGTGAATTGAGAGAAAGAAAGAAAAATCTTGAGTAATCCACGAATTTAATAATCCTGGAATGCAGGAGTGGAGTGAATTATACTTAGCCTTGTGACATTTTCAATGCCCTAATTATAGCATCTTAAATAGGAAAATAACTATTTTCTATCCTACTCAAATTAGTGTGTATATTATTTAATACCATTTATGTTGGAACCTAATTCTATATTTTGGAAAGGACTACTTTTCCATTAGCTTTCCAGCAGACATTTCTGAGTTTCTTTCTACTGTATTGTGTTAACTCTTGTGCTCCAATGTTAAAATTTGATTGGTGTATTTCCATAAGAAATCTGAAATTTTGAGTACGATCGATTGATTTTGGTTCAGCGTAAGGAAGGTGAAGGTGGAATCCTAGCCTTTTGCAGTGGCTCTGGGATGGTACCATGGTTTAATCGGTTTTGTGCCTCTGATAGTGCTTGTCATTTTACATACTGCAGTGCTTCTTAACCAGGGACAGTTGTGCTCCCCAGGGGACATTTGGTAATGTCTGGAGACATTTTTGATTGCCACAACTATATTGAATGCTATTAGCATCCAGTGGGTAGAGTCCAGGAATGCTTTTAAATATCCTTCAGTGCATTGGACAACCCCCCCCCCCCGCCCCCAAAGAATCATCTGACCTCAAGGAGCAGTAGTGCAAAGAGTGGGAAAACTTCAAGCATGGCAGTTGCACCATAATGTATATTGAATTGCAAAATGCATTCACTCAATTAAGCATAAAGCTTTATATATTTGTATTCACTTACCAATTTGATGATTCACAAGGGAGAATTTAGCTCTTGGCTTCATTATGCTCAAAGTATTAAAACAAAATTTTGGCAATTATAATTGATTTTAGGTTCATTGTATTCAATGGGAAGAGTATAATATTATCATCAAATGTTAATCACTAGTAAGATTCAATGTTCTTATTTTGGGCTTCCCCTCTTCCTTAAGAGAGCTTCTTGGAATCAATATTGCGTATTATTCTCTGCAATATTTGCACTTGGATCTGACATAATCAGTTCTGTAGAAAATTTAATTATCCAGATGTCTAAATCAGTAATTAATCTGGATAATCCCTATTCTACTATATTCTACTTCGTCTCATCTTTAGTGTAAAAGTCAGAGATACTAAATAGAATCGCTGAATCCAGCGGCTAGCAAGATAAGCCTTCAGCTTCATGCAAAAAGGCTACAGTGGTTCCCACAATCCCAGTGAAGTAAAAGTTAAATTTTAGTGGTTGGTCCTATGTGCATCATTTCTGATCCTGCTTTAAAATTACTACCTCTTGGGGTGCCTGGGTGGCTCAGTTGGTGAAGCATCTGACTTTGGCTCAGGTCGTGATCTCACAGTCTATGAGTTCAAGCTCCGCATCAGTCTCTGTGCTGACAGCTCGGAGCCCGGAGCCTGCTTCGGATTCTTTGTCTCCCTCCCTCTCTCTCTCTGCCCCTCCCCTGCTCACATTCTGTCTGTCTGTCTGTCTCTCTCTCAAAAATAAACATTAAAAAAAAAAAATTAGAATTACTACCTCTTATTTCAATTGACCTGTTTTAATTTGGACAAAACTTAAATAGTAGATAGGAAAAAAAAAAAAAAAGGAGATAGATACTCAAGTTTTTTGTGGGATGAGGAGTCAGAAGGAGGGAGAGATGACGTAGAAGCACGTAAGTGCTCTATGATCCCACACGTATGTGGTAATACACAGTGGTGTGGTAACTTGTTGAATCGTCTTCTTAAATAGTCATCAATACCACCATTAAATGGAGGATTAATGGATGGTCATATATGATGCGCCTCACTTCAGTATGATGCTTGGCGGGAGAAAAACCCCTACCTAAGATTTGCAGGTTCTCTTCTTTCCTTTGTATTCATGTTCACGAACGTGACCTACTGAACTCCGGCTCTTAGAAGTTCGGCCGATCTGACATTCCTAGGAGCCTTTCAGGATTGGTAACATTTGTTCATTAATATCTGCGGCAACTAGAGTAGAAGCAATTCTGGATAGGTTTAAGTGCCAGAGAGTTTGGAATTTGGAAGTAGGATTTTGCTATGATTTCTGAGCGCTGGCAGAAAACGTTGGAGCGATCCCTTAGCAATGGCAGTAATCTGATCAGTCAGAAATAGCCTGTGCTTTAACAAACAGGAGGCTGCCAGCGTGTGAAGTTAGTGCATGATAGATTAGGTGAGGTTGATGAGAAAATAGATGGTGTTATAACATGCAGAAACCGTGTTAACGTGCTTAACATGAGCGTTTTGATGTGACCGGCCTGCCATACTTCTCTCTTTAAGAGAGAGAAAAATGAGAACACTTCCTGACTCTTAACCTCCCTCTTCTGTTGTGGTTTCCCACCCCCCCACCCCCCCCACCCCCCCCCCGCCCTGTAGTGGTTCTCCACCCTGGCAACATGTTAGAATTTCTGAAAGAGTTCTTAAAAATTACTAATACATGTGCTCCATTCCTAGCAACCCCAAATAATTGAGGCTTAGGTATCGGTGTTTTTTATTTTCTATTATTTTTCATAATATATATATGTGTATATATTTTATTGTGAGAGAGAGAGAGAGCCTGATTGGGGAGGGCAGAGAGAATCGCAAGCAGGCTCCACACCGTCAGCGCAAAGCCTGATATGGGGCTCAGACTCCTTAACTGTGAGATCATGACCTGAGCCGAAGTCAGACACTTGACTGACTGAGCCACCCAGGCGCCCCTTGGTGTTTTTAAAAGAGCTCCACAGATGAATCTAACATGCAGCCAAGGTTGAGAAGCCCTGCTTTCTAGCAGGGCATCACAGTTGTCTGGAGGGCTATTTATGAGGTCGGGGCCGGGGCCTGAGAATTCATTTACAGTTCTAGTAAGTTCCCAGGTGTTGTTGATATTGCTGGTAAGGTGACCACATTTTGAGAATCACCAAGAAGGCAGTCTTAAAAAAAAAAAAAAAGTCATTTGGGTTTAATTGATGGTTTGATGGTGTCTTAAATATTGCTAGAGATACGTTGTAGAGTTAAAATTTGAGATTAAAGAATATTATGTATAGGATTCCTTTTATATGAAACAAGGGTTGCTTTTTTTGTAATAAATTTATTAAAATATTTTTTTGGAGGAAAAAGCTATATCAATGATAATTAAAAGCTCTGTATAGTACTTCATAGTTTAAAAAGCTAATGAATTTACAATTTCTAATAGAGTTTTTGAACATTTAAAATAACCTGTTTGTGGGTTTTCTTTTTAACCTCATTACTTAAGAATCCTTCAGATTTCAGATCTTACATTTTATTTCTTAAAATTTTTTTAAAGTTTATTTATTTTGAGAGAGCAGGGAAGGTGCGGAGAGAGAGGGAATTCCAAAGTAGGGCTTGAACTCATGAACTGCGACATCATGACCTGAGCTGAAATCAAGGGTCAGACGCTTAATTGACTGAGCCACCCACGTGCTGCAGATCTTATGTTTTAGAGTCTCTTTAGATATCTTAAACATTAAAAACATTTTTTTTTTATTTGTTTTTGAGAGAGAGACAGTGTAAGCAGGGGAAGGACAGAGGGAGAGGGAGACACAGAATCCAAAGCAGGCTCCGGGCTCCAAGCTGTCAGCACAGAGCCTGATGCAGGGCTCGACTCACTAAGTGTGAGATCGTGACCTGAGCCGAAGTTGGACGCTTAAGTGACTGAGCCACCCAGGCGCCCCAGTCTCTTTAGGTATCTTCATGGATATAGCTCAAACCAAAAATACTCATTCTTGTTCAATAGAAATTTTAAGAATTTTCAGTTTGGATAGTTGGTTTTGAGATGGGAGAGATGTTTTCTTTTTACTTAGCTTAAATATGCTGGAGGAATGGAGCCATACACTGAGAAGAATGGGGACAAGCGGGAACTGAGAGGGAGATAGTGTTTACAAGTTGGGGCAGCGTTAGAGGAAAGGGAACCTTCCAGGTTTGGAAACAGGAGGAGAAGGTGGCCTGGGACTTCGAGGAATGAAGGAAGCAAGGGATGGATATTCAAGAGCTTGCCCAGAGTTCATGTATGGCAGAGTTAATTCTCAAATCTCGGGTCCCTAAGACTTCAGAGTCGATTCTCTTTTCTGCAAAACAGATAAAGGAAAAAAAAAATGTTCTAATGACCCAGCTCTGCAGCCAATGATCGTTTTGTGACAATTAGGAATCCTGGAAAAAAGTTTCTAGAGGGTATTGGCTTTTTGTTGCATTATATTTGAATACTGCGAATTTGTAGTCCAAAAAACGACAGCTTTCCAATGTGACTTTCTGTGCTTTTCAGAAATCGTCCTCAGCCTTTGATCACTGTGCTTGAACATAGACCTGATTGCTGGCCAGTACTTTTGCAGCAGCTGACGGCTTTTTTCCAGCGATGTCCTGAAAGGTAACGTAAAATAAATAAATGAGGAAGATGGAATGGCATATGCTCATTGTAGAGCTTTTTGTGTGTTTGTTTTTGAAGCTGCTTTATCTTGTTTTCTCTTAAAGAGATGTCTTAGAGTATAGCTTTCCATTTTCTTTTTAAGAGTAAGAGAAAAAAAATCTAGATTTAATTGATAGTTGAAATATTGAATATAAGAAAAGATATTAACAAAGTCAATAAGCATTGGTTAGGTAGGAAAGTTGATTAGAAGTATTTGGTAAATGACTATACACAATGAATATAAAAGATAGATTTTTTTTTTCCCCCCTGGAAATTGGCTAGTGAGTTCTTTCTCCATTAGAAACCTACCAGTTTGGGGGCGCCTGGGTGGCTTAGCTGGTTAAGCATCCAACTTCGGCTCAGGTGATGATCTCATGGTTCGTGGATTCGAGCCCCACACCAGGCTCGGTGCTGACAGCTTGGAGCTTGGAGCCTGCTTCGGAGTCTGTGTCTCCCTTTCTCTCTGCCCTCCCCGGCTCACACTCCATCTCTCTCTCTCTCAAAAACAAACAAACAGACAAAAGAAAAAAGAAAAAAAACAAAAAGGAAGAAGCCTGCCAATTGGGATCAAGTAATACAGCTACACAGGAGGTTAGTTTAGCTTCACCAGGGCATTCTAATGGTCCTCAGAACCACCCCCCTTCCTTCCATCCATACTGTACTGGCTTATATTATCATCTCATTTGGTTATTGTTGATAATGCTGCTATAAACATTGGGGTGCATGTACCCCTTTGAATCCATATTTTTGTATCCTTTAGATAAATACCTAATAACTGCCATTGCTGGATTGTAGGGTAGTTCTATTTTTCATTTCTTGAGGAGGCTCCATGCTGCTTTCCAGAGTGGCTGCACCAGTTTGCATTCCCACCAACAATGCAAGAGAGATCCTCTTTCTCCGCATCCTCACCAACATCTGTGGTTGCCTGGGTTGTTGATGTTAGCCATTGTGACAGGTGCAAGGTGGTATCTGATTGTGGTTTTGATTTGTATTTCCCTGATGATGAGTGATGTTGAGTATCTTTTCATGATCAACACATTTTTAAAATGAAATTTCTTGCTGTTATTAAATAGATTAGGATAGGGGTGCCTGGGTGGCGCAGTCGGTTAAGCGTCCGACTTCAGCCAGGTCACGATCTCGCGGTCCGTGAGTTCGAGCCCCGCATCAGGCTCTGGGCTGATGGCTCAGAGCCTGGAGCTTGTTTCCGATTCTGTGTCTCCCTCTCTCTCTGCCCCTCCCCCGCTCATGCTCTGTCTCTCTCTGTCCCAAAAATAAATAAAAACGTTGAAAAAAAAAATTAAAAAAAAAAATAGATTAGGATATTTTATAAAAGATACTCCTGATGTGCCAAGTTTATTATTAAGCTTGGTTTTAGGGTAATCCTTAAGAATACATCTCCAGAGTGCCTGGGTGGCTCAGTTGGTTAAGTTTCAGACTCTTGGTTTCAGCCCAGGTCTTAATCTCATGGTTTGTGAGATTGAGCCCTGTGTTGGGCTGTGGGCAGGATTACTGATACTCTCTCTCTCCCTGCCCCTCACCCACTTGTGCTCCCTCGCAAAATAAATAAACTTAAAAAAAAAAATTTCTAAATCTTTAGTCAACATGTAATTACCTTTTGGTTATTTTCATTTCAAAGGAGTATTATATTGGGATTTGGAAATAGTTATTTTAATGAAATTTGTCCAGATATTCATAAGGTAAAAAAAGATTATTAATTAACTTTGGTTTATTCACTGATAAGCTTCTTTTCATTTAAATTCTCAGATCTTAGATTATGCCATCTAGAGCCTTTAGGAAGTTCTAAATTAAGTTTATTTGCCACGAATAATTTCAGTTGTCTCCTTTCTGCTTATACACTGTGGGATTTTTCTTTGCAGGAGGAAATTGATAATTCTGGTTGCATTTTTCAACAGTCTATTTGTTTCCTGAGATTTAATTTTAGAGCAAGTTAACTTAGTCACTTAGTGCTTAGTAACTTTAGTTGTTGTTTGGAAGGTAATGAAAGAATGTTGGTGATTAATTTACTGAGAAAATCTAGTGATTCACAAGTATGGGAAGAAGGCAAAATGTTGTGAAGGCAGCTTGTATTCTAGCTCTTTCTGTCTTAGGAATTGTTGACTGTCTGAGTTCATTTTTAATAGTATGTAGATGTCCTAAAATGACACTATATCTTCATGCTAGATTTTTGTGGGGCATTATTTTATTTTTTATTTTTTTACAGGTATTTATTTTTGAGAGACAGAGCATGAGTGGGGGATGGGCAGAGAGAGGGAGGGAGACACAGAATCTGAAGCAGGCTCCAAGCTCCGAGCTGTCAGCACAGAGCCCAATGTGGGGCTCGAACCCACCAACTGTGAGATCGTGACCTGAGCCGAAGTCAGACGCTTAACTGACTGAACCACCCAGGCACCCCGGGGCATTATTTTCGAATTAAATTCTGCTTTCATTTATAGAAGGCCTGTGTGGTAAGACTTCACCTTCATGGAACTGAGAATTGGATAAATCGTCAACAGTGTCATAGTCTTTAGGCCTGGATACTTCAAGGTTATCTAGTCTTAAGTATAATTTCTCAGATGAAGGAATGAGAAATTCCTTCACATGACTTGCTGAAGGGTCAGATGGTTGGTTAGAGATTGAGATGGGCCTAAAGCCTCAGGTTTTTGACTTTCATTCCAAGATTTTTTCCCACTACTTCTCCCTCTGAACATAAATAGAAAAGACTTGTGTGTAGATACAGGCACAGTTAGCTCCATTTGTAAACATTTTCTGTTTAAATTTTAGAGGGGAGAGAGAGAGAGCAGTGGAGAGGGAAGTGGGAGAGGGAGAGACCATCTTTTTATTTATTTAACATTTATTTATTTTTGAGAAACAGAGACAGAGCATGAGCGGGGGAGGGGGCGAGAGAGAGGGGGTGGGAAACACAGACTCCGAAGCAGGCTCTGGGCTCTGAGCTGTTTGCAGACCCCAATGCGGGGCTCGAACTCGTGAACTGCGAGACCATAACCTGAGTCGAAGTTGGACGCTCAACCGACTGAGCCACCCAGGCGCCCCGAGGGACAGAGAATCTTAAGCAGGTTCCATGTTCGGCTGGGAGCCTGACTATGAAGCTCGATCCCACGACCCTGAAATCGTGACCTGAGCTGAAACAAGAGTCAGACACTTAGCTGATTGAGCCACCCATTTGAGTGGGAAGAGCCTAAGAGGCAGAACTTGGCAAATTACTGTAATAATTCCTTATGTGTAATATGAAACATGAAAATGCAATTACGATGTCGGATGCCTGCTGATTGTAAAAGTATGACTTAGAGTAAGTGAATCGATTAATTTAGTGATCGCTTTGGAGGCCTAGTATGTAGTCATTGGTGATACAGCAGTAAACAGAAATCCATGCCGTCCTTTGGCTTACAGTCTGCCAGGGGATAGAGATGCTAAGTAAATAATGACAAATGAAGTCCTTGCCCTGTTGAAGCACGAAATGGGGATCTGCCCTGGCTAGGTGTGACTCCGGGAGTCATTTGAAAGGAGAGAGCCGGAAAATGATAGGAATTAGCAGAAGAAGGAACACGGAAGGAAGAAAGAGGAGAACGTGAGAGGGAACGGCACGTGAGAAGAAAGCTTAGATAACTTGATTGACACCTGAAAGGCACTTAGTGTGGCTCAGTGGAGAGTGGAGGGGGGGGGTGGAGGTGGCAAGAAATGAGGCTGGAAAGACCAGCAGAGGCTAAATTATGGAGGGCTTGCAAATTGGGCTAAATACTTTCTCTTAAGTGGGGGCACACTCTTTTAAGCTGGTTACTAACCTGAGCAAATTTTTATATGTGGAAGGTGCTTCTGGCATTTTAGTGACTTTGGATGTGGAGTTACTGGGATATATAGAAATCTAAATAGATAGGAAAAAATTTGTAAAGCCTTCCTCCTCTTTTCTTTCTTTTTCTTTTTCTTTTTT